CTCATTATGTCATTTTCTGCTAAAAATTCCGGGTACTGTACACATTATATTTCCAGCATTTAATTAAATCTTATTTGCCTCATTATACTCTATATATTTCCTGTGTTGTAACTCATTATATTTCCTGTGTTGTAACTCATTATATTTCCACTGTTGTAACTCATTATATTCCCTACTGTATCCTCATTATATTGAAACAAAATTAATTCATCACATTTCCCGTATTTCACACATTATAACTGAACTGTACTCATTATATTTCCCTACTTGTTTTCATTATATTCTCGGAACTGTATTTATAATAATCACGTGTTATATTTCGTGAACTGTTCTCATTATATTTCGTTACGTACTCATTATATTCCCTGTTACGTGCCCAACCACTTGGGTTGGACGGTAGAGCGACGGTCTCGCTTCATGCAGGTCGGCGTTCAATCCCCGACCGTCCAAGTGGTTGGGCCCCATTCCTTTCCCCGTGTCCCATCCCTAATCCTTATCCTTAACCGTTTTCAAGTTCTATATAGTCGTAATGGCTTGGCGCTTTCTCCCTTATAGTACTATACTCAACATTGTTTTGAGTATATTCATTATTTTAATGATTTTTTTTTCATTATTTTGAGAATACTGTGCTCATTATAATCTGTGTGCGCATTATATTACCAGGAATTGTACTTATTATATTTTAGGTAATTGACTCTATGATATTCCCTCTACAGCACTCATTATGTTAACTATAATGTACTAAATATATAATGTAATCATTATATTCTTTGAGCCGGTCGGCCGAACAGACAGCACGCTGGATTTGTGATCCTGTGGTCCCGGGTTCGATCCCGGGCGCCGGCGAGAAACAATGGGCAGAGTTTCTTTCACCCTATGCCCCTGCTACCTAGCAGTAAAATAGGTACCTGGGTGTTAGTCAGCTGTCTCGGGCTGCTTCCTGGGGGTGGAGGCCTGGTCGAGGACCGGGCCGCGGGGACACTAAAAGCCCCGAAATCATCTCAAGATAACCTCAAGATATACCTAATAAATTTTTCTTGAGATGTTGTTCTTTACAGTTCAAATAACATGTACTGAACTCTACATGTTATTGTTATTGTCCTGTGTTCATCATATTCCGTGCATTGTGCTCATTATATAACATATATTGAATTTGTTATATATTATATAATGAATCCATTATATTTTCAGCACTATGCTCAATTCAATATCTGCACTTTTCTGATTGTATTCCATTTGCTTTACTCATTATATTTCCCTGAATTGTTCTCCCTAAATAAACTTCACAATACTCATCATATTCATAATACTCTGAATATGGCATGAATTGTAGAACAAATATTGTCTGTAGTGTTATCATTAAATTTCCGGAATTGTGATTATTGTATTCCGTTTTGCACTCATTGTGTTTCCTGTATTGTAATCATTGTATTCCGTTTTGTACTTATTATATTTCCTGTATTGTACTCATTGTATTTCATGTACAGTCGTCATAAAATTCAAATTTTTAGCTAATTACTTTCGTTCGTTCAAGATCATTATATGTTTTAACCGCATATTATTCCATGATTTGTAACTCCTGGGATGTACTCATTATAATCATTGTACTTTGTGAGTTATATTGCCTATATTTATATCTTTATTCTCCCGGTTTGTTACGAATCAACAATACTTGATTCTGACATCTGTCATATCTACACACAGTTTCAAGTGTAGATATGACAGAGCCCGATAGGCTCAGGAATCTGTACACCTGTTGATTGACAGTTGAGAGGCGGGACCAAAGAGCCAAAGCTCAACCCCCGCAAACACAACTAGGTGAGTACAACTAGGTGAGTACATCACGATAAAGTCTTAATGTTACTAAGTTCATTCTTCAGTTATTTGGGGGCTGACATTATGTCCTGTTGTTTTCCCGAGAGTTGATTTAGTTTACTGTATAATGCTGTCGTGTGCTGATATGATATATGATATATGATATATGATATATGATATCGTGGTATGATATATTTCTTTGATGTTAATGCATGTTTATTCATGTGGGTGGGGACAGTGGCGCCCCAGGGAGGTTATCTTGAGGTTATCTTGAGATGATTTCGGGGCTTTTTAGTATCCCCGCGTCCATGTCCTTGACCAGGCCTCCACCCCTAGGAAGCAGCCCTTGAGAGCTGACTAACTCCCAGGTACCTATTTACTGCTAGGTAACAGGAGCATCAGGGTGAAAGAAACTCTGCCCATCGTTTCTCGCCGGCGCCCGGGATCGAACCCGGGACCACAGGATCACGCGTCTAGTGTTCTGTCCGCTCAGCCACCGGCTCCCGGTGAGGGAATGGCCATATATATGGAGTCTTCACTGATGCGCGCATTGTAGCAGCTTAGCCTCCATGATTAAACCCCAGAAATTAATTAATTATTCTTTGTTCTTGTATGTACAAATTTGTTAAATTACATCTTATTAGTGATAATTGTATTTACTATTGTTAATAATTATGTTGGGCCAGATTCACGAAGCAGTTACGCATGTACTTACGAACGTGTACATGTTTCCTCAATCTTTGACGGCTTTGTTTACATTTATTAAACAGTTTACAAGCATGAAAAATTCCCAATCAACTGTTGTTATTGTTATAAACAGCCTCCTGGTGCTTCGGAGCTCACTAACTGTTTAATAATTGTAAACAAAGCCGCCAAAGATTGAGAAAAGATGTACAGGTTCGTAAGTGTTTCGGTAACTGCTACGTGAATCTGGCCCCCTGGTCTGGCGTGCCAGTCATGAAGGTGTAGCTGACTAGGTCGGACCTGTGATCGTGAGGTAAGTCAAAATTGCCTGTTTTACTTCAGTTAACATAGCTAATTATTTGGATAGACCATTACTTGCATACCCATATATTCTTGTATAGTTTAAGTTAGTGGTCAGTGCTTATAGATACTACGTTACCTTATTATTGTGGTTGAATATTTCTGGTGGTTCTTGGCTGCACTGTGTATATTTTATGTCTATGTTTGTTTCTTTGTTGCCCCCTTCATGAAGTATATTGATGTGTTTGTGAAACAGTCGTTGATTTTCACCCCTAGACAATTGATAATTGCAAGGCCGCAGTTACTAATAATTACGACTGTAACGCGCATGAACCTTACCCATATGACTCGGGGGACATAACATTGTTGACCAAACCACACATTAGAAAGTGAAGGGACGACGACGTTTCAGTCCGTCCTGGACCATTCTCAAGTCTCACAATCGACTTGAGAATGGTCCAGGACGGACCGAAACGTCGTCGTCCCTTCACTTTCTAGTTTGTGGTCTGGTCAACATATTTCAGCCACGTTATTGTGACTCCTCGTCGACATAACATTGTTTTTTATATTATTGTTATTATATTCCCAGTATTTGGCTAGTTATATTCGAAAACTGCACTCATTATTTTATTGTGAATTCATTATGTTCTATATTATCTGCTCCTTAAATAATGAATACTATGATAATTTTACTCTCTTTTCTTTACTCGTTCTTTACTAATGTTATTTATATCTGGTGTACTCATAATATTCCATAAACTTTGCTCATTATATTCCTTATGCAATACTCATTATCTTTGCAGGCATTTCTCATTACATTCCATTCTCACTGTGTCCTATAAGTTACTCATTATATTTCTAGTACTGTATTCATTCTCTGTATTTCACTCTTCAATTCATCTGTGAAGTACTTGTTGTATTCAATGTAACATTCATTGTATTCCCTTTACTCATCATATTCCATATACTGTACTCATTGTATCATTATCATAGTGTTCCCTTACTATACTCAATAAGGGAACTTATTGTACTCAATATTTCCTATTGCTTTTTACTAAAAATATTTAATGTACTGTACTCATTATACTTCCTGTTTTGTACACATATATTAATCACATTGGCGTGCTCATTACATTTTCCTGTACAATGTACAGTTCACCGTCTGCCATATCATTATACTATTTTCATTGTTTTCCCATCATTACATACGTAACTTATCAAGTCCCCCCCTTCATAATACATTGAATAACATCTAGGGTTAACAAGTACAGCCACGCTGCTAGCACAGGTTACTGTTTGTTTAGGACCATCAATTAGTGTGTTTAGGGCCATCAATTAGTGTGTTTAGGGCCATCAATTAGTGTGTTTAGGGCCATCAATTAGTGTGTTTAGGGCCATCAATTAGTGTGTTTAGGGCCATCAATTAGTGTGTTTAGGGCCATCAATTAGTGTGTTTAGGGCCATCAATTAGTGTGTGTTTAGGGCCATCAATTAGTGTGTGTTTAGGGCCATCAATTAGTGTGTGTTTAGGGCCATCAATTAGTGTGTTTAGGGCCATCAATTAGTGTGTGTTTAGGGCCATCAATTAGTGTGTGTTTAGGGCCATCAATTAGTGTGTGTTTAGGGCCATCAATTAGTGTGTTTAGGGCCATCAATTAGTGTGTGTTTAGGGCCATCAATTAGTGTGTGTTTAGGGCCATCAATTAGTGTGTGTTTAGGGCCATCAATTAGTGTGTTTAGGGCCATCAATTAGTGTGTGTTTAGGGCCATCAATTAGTGTGTGTTTAGGGCCATCAATTAGTGTGTTTAGGGGCCATCAATTAGTGTGTGTTTAGGGCCATCAATTAGTGTGTGTTTAGGGCCATCAATTAGTGTGTGTTTAGGGCCATCAATTAGTGTGTTTAGGGCCATCAATTAGTGTGTTTAGGGCCATCAATTAGTGTGTTTAGGGCCATCAATTAGTGTGTGTTTAGGGCCATCAATTAGTGTGTTTAGGGCCATCAATTAGTGTGTTTAGGGCCATCAATTAGTGTGTTTAGGGCCATCAATTAGTGTGTGTTTAGGGCCATCAATAGTGTGTGTTTAGGGCCATCAATTAGTGTGTTTAGGGCCATCAATTAGTGTGTGTTTAGGGCCATCAATTAGTGTGTGTTTAGGACCATCAATTAGTGTGTGTTTAGGACCATCAACAAAACAAGAGCTGACACAAAAATTCCGACCATTTATTACAAATATACAAACAACACTATTCCATCAGGGGTGGGAAGGGGGGGGGGGGGTTGTACACCATCCGCTTCCCTTTATTCCTGCCCTCAACCCTTGACGTGATGCCGGCGAGGGGAGTGGGAAGAAGGAATGAGGGGGAAATGGGAAGGGGGAAAAATGGGTAAAAAGAAACGGGTGGTAAATAGCTATTGATAAGGGTGAGAGTGTGAGGAGTGTTCGCTGTGTGGATGAGGGGAGGGGGGGGGGAAGGTGAGGAGTAAGTGTTAGAGGGTGAGAGTGAGATATGAGGGATAGTGATGCCTCATGAGGATCATCATGTATTAACTGCCACAAGTCCATGAGGATCACTTGGCAGCAGAGACAGGAAAATCAGATTGAGAAGCGAGTGTGAGGAAAATTGAGTGAGGTAAAGATGGTGAGTGAGGGAGAGAGTGAGTTAGGGTGACGGGTGTTGATGGGAATATGAGGGAAGGTGAGTAAGGTAGGGAGAGTGAGAGAGCGTGAGTAAGGTTGGGAGAGTGAGGGAGGATGAGTAAGGAAGGGAGAGTGAAGGTGAGTGGGTAAGGTCGGTAGAGTGAGGGAGGGTGAGTCAGGTAGGGAGAGTGAGGGAGGATGAGTAAGGTAGGGAGAGTGAGTGTGGGGTGAGAGTTCACATGGCGGAGCTCCTCCACTCTGGGTCCCACATGCTCTCCTCTGGAAAACAAAAACATCATATATTAATTAACAAAGATCACATAAACTTTCATAATTCCAAAATTAAAGTCTAGGTTATATATATATATATATATATATATATATATATATATATATATATATATATATATATATATATATATATATATATATTGTTGAATATGACCGAAAGGGTAAGATTAATAATTCTAACACGAATCTTCTCAATATTTCTTACGTTTTGCTTCACTGTCAAGGGTAGTTGATAAAGTAACTCTCCAAAATTCATTATTTTTATTCCCAATCTGATGCCTGAACGCGTTTCGTAATTCCTTATTACATTTTGAATGACTTAATTTACACACAAAATACATTCATACTTATACTCGTTTTTGGGTGAGGTGATATGGCACAAAAGTTTTGGATGAGGGGAAACATGTACCCTTCTTGAGTCCAGATGGGCACATGTATAAGCAAGTAGATGGGGTCGCCATGGGTTCTCCCCCTAGGTGTCCTGTTGGCGAACTTCTACATGGGTACCATAGAGCAGAGGGTCTTAGCTGACATGGACTTGAAACCGGCCGTATACTGCAGGTATGTTGACAATATTTTTACACAGGTACCTGGTGTCAGACATCTGCAGGAGCTGAAGGAGGCATTTCAGCGGAATTCTGTGTTGCGTTTCACTTACGAGATGGAGAAGGATGGGAAGCTGCCCTTTCTAGCTGTAACAGTCATGGAAAGGAGCGGAGGTTTCCACACTGCAGTCTACACTAAGGAAACAAACATAGGAATGTGCCTCAATGCCAATAGTAACTGCCCAGACAGGTACAAGAGGAGTGTTGTCAATGCTTATGTCAATCACCTCACCCAAAACTTGTACCATATCACCTCACCCAAAGCAAGTATAAGTATGGATGTATTTTGTGTGTTTACAGGTTACAGTTGTGTGTGTAAACTAAAGACTTAGAAAATGTAATAAGTTATTAAGATAGGCGTTCAGGTGTCAGACTAGAAATAAAAATGAATTTTGGAGAATTGATTTTTCAATTACCATCGACAATGAAGAGAAACATAAGAAATATTGAGAAAATTCGTGTTAGAATTAATAATCTTACCTTTTCAGTCTTATCTTATTCAACAACATTATATATATATATATATATATATATATAAGCCAATACTTGCATAAACCACAAGTGAAGATTAACAATCTTTGGACAACACCCACCAGTGGGCCTCGAACCCAGAAAGCACAACTACCTTCCAGTAGCTGCCATAACTAGTACGCCTTAACCCACTACACCATCAGACCCTACAAAAGAAGTAGAGACTTCGAGATATATATACACCTCAAATATCTCCACTTCCCGAGGGCACTAGACAAGTGAGAGGTTACTATGCATTTTTCATCAAGCCACTGTTAATGTGAGAGAACTCGTGTCCATACTATAAGCCTATACTTGAATAAACCACAAGTGAAGATTAACAATCTTTGGACAACACCCACCAGTGGGCCTCGAACCCAGAAAGCACAACTACCTTCCAGTAGCTGCCATAACTAGTACGCCTTAACCCACTACACCATCAGACCCTACAAAAGAAGTAGAGACTTCGAGATATATATACACCTCAAATATCTCCACTTGTGGTTTATGCAAGTATAGGCTTATAGCATGGACACGAGTTCTCTCACATTAACAGTGGCTTGATGAAAAACGCATAGTAACCTCTCACTTGTCTAGTGCCCTCGGGAAGTGGAGATATTTGAGGTGTATATATATCTCGAAGTCTCTACTTCTTTTGCCCAATAATTTTTGGCAGGTGGAGTCCTGATTTCTTGGCGTTCACAGTTTCGATCAGTTCTCCACCTGCTAAAAATTATTGGGGAATATAAACCTGGATATGCGTATGGAAATGTCAAGACACACAAGCCTGGAAACCCACTTCGGCCAATCATTAGCCAGATACCCACACCCACGTACAGACTGGCGAAGCGACTCAACAACCTGCTGACTCCTTATGTCCCTTGCGCCTTCAGCCTGAAGTCTCAAAAGGAATTTGTTCACTTACTGCGGGGCACACGGGCCACAGGGATAAGAGCCTCGTTGGACGTAGAATCACTGTTCACCAACGTACCTGTGGACGTGACAATCGGGATGATAGCCGACAGAGTGTATCGTGATCCAGCCTGTACTCCTCTTGACATACCAGAAATTATTCTAAGGAAACTACTCCAAGCTTGTACTAAAGAGGCACCCTTCTTGAGCCCGGATGGGCACATGTATAAGCAAGTAGATGGGGTCGCCATGGGTTCTCCCCTAGGTGTCCTGTTTGCAACCTTCTACATGGGTACCATCGAGCAAAAAGTCCTAGTCGACATGAACTTGAAACCGGCCATATACTGCAGGTATGTTGACGACATTTGTACACAGGTACCTGATGTCAGACATCTGCAGGAGCTGAAGGAGGCGTTTGAGCAGAGTTCCGTGCTGCGTTTCACTTACGAGATGGAAAAGGATGGGAAGCTGCCCTTTCTAGATGTAACAGTCATGGAAAAGAGCGGAGGTTTCCACACTGCAGTCTACACTAAGGAAACGAACATAGGAATGTGCCTAAATGCCAACAGCGACTGCCCAGACAGGTACAAAAGGAGTGTTGTTAACGCATATGTCGACCGTGCTCTCAGCCACAGCTCAGAATGGAAGCAAGTCGACGAAGAACTCTGTAGGGTAAGGCAGGTCCTAGTCAACAACGGCTTCTCCAATGGTTTCGTCGAAGACATCATAAGAAGGAAAGTGAAACGCCATGCAACCTCTGAAGAGACAACTAACACATCACCTATACCCCTATTAGACTATTTTACAGGAACTTCTTTTCCACAGCTCATAAAACGGCAGAAAGGGTCCTGAAAGATATTGTTAATAGAAACCTTATCCCTACAGACAAAAATCAGAGGATACAACTGACGATTTACTATAAAACCAGAAAAACGGCCAGCCTACTCATGAGAAACTCTCCAGACACAAAGCAGAACGCTTTAAAAGAGACCAACGTCGTCTATGCCTTCAAATGCCCTCTTGGGGACTGTAAGCTCCAAAAAACCCAGTATATAGGCAAGACAACAACATCTCTTTCTAGGCGTTTAACGATGCATAAGCAACAGGGCTCCATTAAGGAACATATAATCTCTTCCCACAACCAAACCATCGCCAGAGAAATCCTAGTAAACAACACAGAAATCATCGATAGATACAGCAATAGCAGGCGGCTTGACGTTTGCGAGGCACTACACATTAAAAAGTCAACACCAGCAATCAACAGCCAATTAATGCACAACTATATTCTACCCACCTCAAGACTCCGCTCCAATACAGAAGCATCAAGAAATATGGACCAATAGGCTTTCTACAATCACTTCCATTCAATACCCATTGTTTCGTGTTCTGTCTTGTGTTGATGAAATTAATACCCTATTAATGCCACCTCACCCCATCCACCTCACTCAAATGTAGATATAAACAAATCGGAGATGTTTAAGTTCTATTCAGTTGTGTATGTGTAAACTAAAGTCTTTGAAAATGTAATAAGTTTTATGAAACGCGCTCAAGTGTCGCGTCAGACTAGAAATAAAAATGAATTTTGGAGAATTGATTTTTGAATTACCACCAACAGTGAAAAGAAATGTACGAAAGATAGAGAAAATTCGTGTTAGAATTATTAATCTTACTTTTTCGGTCATATTTAATAATATATATATATAATATATGTATATGTATATAAATAACATAAAACTTTATTAATTTGAATAACTAGTCAGTTCACTTAAGGAAAAATAATGTAACATCGAAGCAAATCAGATACGATATTTGATAAACGTACACGACCAACGACACACACACACGACAGGCAGCAAGCGTACCGCGACCCTCCACTCACTCTGTACACAGCAAAAACAAATAAATATATACATGTGTACAAATCACAACAAAAACTTTGAGAGTTCCATTCTAGGGTGGAGTCCCCCTCGCGGATATATATATATATATATATATATGTCGTACCTAGTAGCCAGAACGCACTTGTCAGCCTACTATGCAAGGCCAAATTTGCCTAATAAGCCAAGTTTTCCTGAATTAATATATTTTCTCAAATTTTTTTCTTATGAAAAGATAAAGCTACTGATTTCATTATGTATGAGGTCAATTTTTTTTATTGTAGTTAAAATTAACGTAGATATATGACCGAACCTAACCAACCCTACCTAACCTAACCTAACCTATCTTTATAGGTTAGGTTAGGTTAGGTAGCCGAAAAAGTTAGGTTAGGTTAGGTTAGGTAGGTTAGGTCGTCGAAAAACAATTAATTCATGAAAACTTGGCTTATTAGGCAAATCGTGCCTTGCATAGTAGGCTGAGAAGTGAGTTCTGGCTACTAGGTACGACATATATATATATATATATATATATATATATATATATATATATATATATATATATATATATATATATATATATATATGCGAACAAGCCTGAATGGTCCCCAGGACATATGCAACTGAAAACTCACACCCCAGAAGTGACTCGAACCCATACTCCCAGAAGCAACGCAACTGGTATGTACAAGACGCCTTAATCCACTTGACCATCACGACCGGACAAAATGAGGTGATAGCCGAGGCTATATGAACCACCCCACCGCCGGCACTCGGATAGTTATCTTGGGCATAGCATTTTACCAAATCACCTCATTCTTTGGGGCACACGTGAGGAACACAAATGCGAACAAGCCTGAATGGTCCCCAGGACATATGCAACTGAAAACTCACACCCCAGAAGTGACTCGAACCCATACTCCCAGAAGCAACGCAACTGGTATGTACAAGACGCCTTAATCCACTTGACCATCACGACCGGACAAAATGAGGTGATAGCCGAGGCTATATGAACCACCCCACCGCCGGCACTCGGATAGTTATCTTGGGCATAGCATTTTACCAAATCACCTCATTCTTTGGGGCA